AGGGTAGTGTCAGACAGGAAGGAGGTGACAAAGATCACGGGACCTGCATGGCCACAGAAGCAAAGAGGATGTGTCCACACATGCTTCCCATCCACAAGTGAATCCTGCTGAGAACAGGGCTGGGGATCCTCTTCTGCACATGACTGTGAGCAGAGGGACATCCAGCACTCTGCTTCCTGAGAAAGATCCAACCCCCTCATGGGAGCACCCAGGAATTCCCAGCTCGCCTCCTTTGATCACAAGTCCCAAACTGCACCTACAAAAATCCTGATTTTTTGTAGACCTCCCATTTCCAATTCTCTTGCTCTCAGAGCACATGCAAAGATGCTGTGCAACAACAATTCCCTGCATGGAGACAGCATTCCTGAGCTAGGACTAAGCCTCCAAGATAATGCAGAATGTGCTTCTTATCAGTGGGGAACACCATAGAATGTTTCATTCAATGCCAACAGCAGAACTCCCAACAACCCCATGATATGAGAAGTGGGTCTGTGCTTGTTGTCTGCAGAACACCAAAAAGGCAAGAAACTCTTTCCCCTTCTCAAAGCTTTCCAAGGCAAAAGCAGAGGTTCCTGACAGAGAACAGCAGGAAGGTCACAAGCCCCTCCAGGCATTACCTTCAGGTGTTTTTTGTAGTTGTTGTAGACCACAGCCAGGAAGAGAGACATGAAGATGTAAGTGTTGACAATGACGAAGGCGATGAAGAACAGGGCGTACCAGGAGCTGAAGTCAAACGCTGGCATCCTAGAGAAGGGGAGAGGGATTGCTGCTTTCCAGACTGACAAAAGTGAGCCCACGAGAAAACAGACTACCACGTGGATTTCCAAGTGCTGTTTTGGACTGCCAGATCAAACTCATCAGATAAAAGCTAAAAGCTGCATTAGTTCACTTAGAGAACCCTTTTCTTCTGCTGGGTTTTCATCCTGGTTTGTCAGGCCCTGACTGAAGGGGTGCAGAAGACAGCACAGAGATGAAATCTCTGTCAGTGCAGCCAAATTTAAGAGCAGACATGAGGCAATGCCTCAGCCAGATGCTATTTTTTGGCCTCAGAGCCTTGCTGCACTCACATCTGCTTTTCCACTTGCTCTAGGATGAGCAGCATTTTATTTTATTTCAGTTTAAATTCCCAGGGTCACTGTACCATTGCAGTTGCAGCACATGGATGACTGAGCCCTTCCTCCCTGCCCTATTCCTGACAGCACCTTCCCAGCACAAACTACAGTGGGAACCCAGAAGAGATAGGGATGAAAAGCCCAACACCCACAGAATTTTAACCCTGCTGTGCAAATTACAGGCTGCACAGAGAGCCCTGTGAGAGAAAGAGATCCGATCATCTACACATGACATCCATACATGACATCCGGGCTGTTTGCTGTGGTCACCAGTACGTAAAGGTCAAACACAATCTCCAGGTAGTTTCTGAAGTAGGGGAGGCCTTCTGCTGTCTGGAGATTCCTGGTAGGAAGAGGAGAGCCTGGAGTTAAGCATGATCACATGCTTGCATTCCCTAGGAATTGCTTGGAGTGTGCCCAGAGTATCCCAGGAGCAAAGGAAGTACCCACACCTCTCTCCAAACAGCTTCAAGGCCATGAGGGAGAACATGAGGAGGCTGAACATGAAGAGCAGGAAGACGTAGGTGATCTCCGGCAGCGTGTTGCGGATGCTGCGGAACGCCCTCCGGATCTGCCGGGACAAGGGAATGTTCAGAGGCAACGTGGCACCCCTTTTCCCCCATCCCACCTGGATCAAACCCCTGCAATGGGGTGCAAGAGACCCAGGCCTTTCCCTCTAGGATCCCCCTGAAGAACAAGGAGGAAAGACCTCAGCTACACATCACAGTGAGCTCAGGAGCCAAGGGACAGAGAGCCCCAGGGCACTGCTGAGATGTTCTTGCTGCAGGGAACCAGTCAGGGACAGAAATCCATTGCTCCAGGCCACAAAACACAGGCTCTGAGCCCAAATGTTGAGCTGCTCCCTCCCCCAGGCCTCCACATCACAATTTATTCATCTGTAAGTCAGGACCAGACCAGTCTTGGGCAGCAGGACAAAGATCTCTCCATGCTGAGAGGAATCAGAGTCCAAACCCAGACTACAGCACTTGTTTACTCAGGAGACTTCCAGCAATCAGTAACCTGGTCCCTGACTCAGGGAGAAACACAGGGGTTTTTCCTGTGATACTGAGTGAATCCACCCTTTTGCCCACCTCAAATTATTGCTTCAAGCCACTTCTGAAACAAACCTTCTCTCACAGGATCCTAAATTCTGCCTGAGGGCTTCTCCTCCCCAGCAGCACATCCAGGAGAGCCCTGGGTCCTGGCAGAGCTCACCTGTACCAGGGCTCATAAAACCTTTCTGCTAAATCCCCTGGATCGTGGAAAGCAGCAGGCTGCCTGAAAAAACAGGACCCTGGACATCCCACCAGACCTTTTCTTTACCTGGCGGCTCTCTGCGAAGTTGATGAGGAAGATGGGCCTCACAATCCTTGACCATCGGATGCTCCTCACATCATACAGCCTGAGGACCCCATATATGGCCAGGTCTGTCAGGGATAGCTGTGGCAAAAGGAAGGAAAGCTCCCAGAATTAATGCTGGAATGTGTCTAGACAGTGAAGTGTTCATTGATACAGGAGAGGTGCACACATGACAGGTTTGTGACAGCTGGTTGGCTTGGCCATGGTGCATGTATGCCAGGTCTGGGATCCCAGGAAAGCAGCATGAGGGGAAAAAAAACCCCACCTCCCCTGGGCCCAACTCACCAGGATTGCCACCATGATGCAGATGTTCTTGGTGTCCTTCCAGAACACGTTGTGCAGGGTGACTTTGGCAAAGTGTGTCAGGCGGCCGAGGAACACCAGGAGGCACAACACCTCCAGCACTGACGTGGCCTGCAGAGAGAGCAGGGCTCAGCCAGCACAACCAGGAGCAGCAATATTCCTTTTTGCACAATAAAAAACAGGCAGAGCGATATTTTCAGGCTTCCTTTTGCAGAATTCCTTGCCACAAGCAGGTTAAAGGCAGCAGGTCTGTGTTTGCTTAGGATTCAAGGAGTACATCTTTCACAATCACACTGGTGCAGGACAAATAAAGACTGCAGAAAAGTCTGGCCTAAAGTAAAACTTGGCTTCTACTTTCATGCACGAGGACTGGACTTGAGTCCCAAAGAAGGCTGGAATTGGTCTCTGAGATGGAGAACAGCAATATGACTTTGACCACAGTCACATGGGCCATTGCTGGTGGCCACAATGGCTCCTACAGTCCCTGGGCCAGCTCCTGTGCCTTTTTTGTCCCTATTTCAAACAGATCACAGAATTATAAAGTCACAGAATCATTTGGGTTGAAGGGTACCATAAAGATGATCCCATTCCACCCCCTGCCATGGGCAAGGACATCTTCCACTATCCCAGGTTGCTCCAAGCCCTATCCAACCTGATCTGGAACACTTCCAGGGATGGGGCAGCCACAGCTTCTCTGTCAAACCTGTGCCAGGGCCTCACCACCCTCACAGGGGACAATTTCTTTCCAATCTATTTCTTTCCAGTCTCCCACCTAACCCTGCCCTCTTGTAGCGGGAAGCCATTCCCCCATGTCCTGGCACTCCAGGCCCTTGGAAATAGTCTTTATCTTTCTTGTTGGCCATTTCAAGTACTGGAAGAGCCAATTAGGTCACTCCAAAGCTTCTCCAGGCTCAACAACCCCAATTCTCTCAGCTTTTCCTCACAGCAGAGCTGTTCCACCCCTCTGATCAACTTGGTGACCTCCTCTGGACTCACTCCAACTTTCCATGTCCTTCCTGTGCTGGGGACCTAGAGCTGGATGCAGGACTCCAGGGGAGGTCTCACCAGAGCAGAGGATCAAAGATACCACAAAAACATCTCCATCCACTGTCTCTTGGCACGTCTGATAACCACTTTGAAGCAAGAAGCCCTTGCTGGCTCCAGCAGCTGCATTTGCTGCTCCTACACCACAAACTCACCAGGAAGGGGAGCGGATACACAGCAGGTTCCTCAAACAGGGCAAGGGACAGGTTGAGGAAGATGAAGAAGTAGGTGGCTGTTCTCATCATCCAGTGGTTATAGAGGTGATAGAGCCTGAAGGAAGAAGGCACAGGCACCATAAATAAAGGCTACAAGGCACATCATCCCCAGGGCATCACCAAATGCGTCCTGGAAGAACAGCACTTACTGCCCCAAACAAGCATTTTTGCCAGCAAGGAATTTGACAATGTGTCTCCAAATCAGCATCAGAGCTGATGGATACGATACTGCCTTTCAGAGCAGGGTTAAATAATAGAATATTTATTATAGTAAACAAAAAATATTATAGTAAACAAAAAATATTTAACTTGGTTCAGCCACTCCAGCACCTTCCACACAGCTGAGAGCTGACTAAGCCTCCCACACTCTTCATTGCCCCAGAGGCTTGGAAGACTTTATGTTAGTTTTATTTTCTCCCCTCCAGCAAACAACAACTTTTTAATGTTAATTCCCATCCTCAACATACAGATGCGCTGAGCTCCGTTTTAAGCATTTCAGCTTAACTACATTTTTAGCACCCCACCCATCCACCCCTCTTAGCACCCCCGACTTTTCCCGGCTGTTGCTGTTTGCCCACGGATACCGCGGGCTCTCCGCAGGTGTGGTCGGGGCGGCGGGCGCATCCCTCCTTACCTGACGGCCTCCGGAGATGTCTTAAAAGGAATATTCCTGTTGTACTGCGCGTCGGACACGAACGCCGCTGCCAGCAGCAGATCCTGGAGGAAACACAGGACAGCGTGTGAGGAGCTTCGGGGGAACTCCGCGGAGTTATTGAGGGGAAGGAGAAGAGGGAGAAGGGTGCCAGAGTGCCTCGGGGAGAGGCGCTACCTGCGCTGCCGCCTCGGCCATGGCGCGGGCAGACGCGGCGCCTCCCCGGCCCCGCCGCCTTTAACGGGGCCGGTCCCGCCCAGCGGCGGCGGAAGCGGGAGGCGGTGCCGGGCTCGGGGGAGCCGGAGCGGGCCCGGGATGGTGCTGGAGGCGCTGCGGCCGCGGGTGGTGCGCTGGGCGCTGCTGGCCGCCTTCGCCGCCGGGGTGGCGGTGGGCTGGCAGGCGGGCCGGGCGCGCCGCCGCTTCCTGCGCTGGCGGCAGCAATACCTCCAGCGCCGCCTCGCCGCCGCTCAGGAGAAGCTGGAAGCGGCCTGAGCGCCGGCATGGCCTGGCTGCCCCTGGCTGCGGACTCCGGGAGGCTCCTCCGGCGGATTCGGCTCCTCCGGAGCACCGGTGGGCGCTGCCTGAGCCGCTGGGAACGGGGGAAGCGCTGCTGGGGAAGGACAGCATCTCTGGCATAGCAGGGCTGCCGGCTGGACAGCATCCGTGGAATATCAGGGCTTCTGGGGAAGGACAGCACCCGTGGACTATCAGGGTTTCTGGGGAAGGACAGCATCCGTGGAACAGCAGTGCTGCCAGAGAGGAGAGCATCCATGGAATAGCAGGACTTGTCTTCCTCCCTTCGCAAAGCAAGATCCCAAACTGTGTCAGACTAACCTAAGAGCTGAGGATATGCAAGCAGCGATGCCAAGCTTGGAATGGACTGCTCGGGGAGGTTTGGAGTCCCCGTCCCTGGAGGTGTCCAAGGAACAACTGGACGTGGCACTCGGGGATGGGTGACAAGGTGGGGATCGGTCACGGGTTGCACTCGGTGATCTCGGAGGTCTTTTCTAAGCTCAGCGATTCTATGATTCTCGGATTTCCATATTCCACAAAAGGGTTGTCTGCACTTGTCCAGCTCTAAGCCTGCTGCTCTGCCCTTGCCAGGAAGCGCTGCCAACACAATAAACTAGTAAAACTCATCGCATGGTGCTCCTAGGTGTTTATTTCTGGAATAAATGTGAAAACGTGCCTTACGGGCACATGTAAAAAGTCCCATTATGGGTGTGCATGGGGACAATTAAGTGGTGAAAGAGCTCATGCTTTGTCTGGGTGAATGAACAAGTGAAATAAAGGAGTAACAATTCCTCCTGGCACTTTGGATAAGGAATTGTGAAGGTAGCTGTAGCAAATTCCTTCTTCCCTTTACTAGAGAATGCCAGGAGAAGGAATGCGGGGGGATTCATTGCAGGCTGCTGGTTTTCAGAGGTATCATGGAGTTCTCAAATCTATGGGGGAGAAAAAGCACTGCCCAGAGCCCCTTAAGGCTTGGTCTTGACCTTGCACCTCCTTCCCAAACTTAACGATCCTGCCATCAGACTGGGGGATCTCCAGAGGTGCCTTCCAACCCCACCTATTCCATGATTCCGTGGCTGGGATCACAAAACGCCATCGTTTGTCCCCAGATGAGCCCCGCCGGCTCTGTTGGGGGTGCGAGGGACCTTCCCGAGCTCGGGGCTGCGGGGGCCGGGCCGCGGGGCTCGGAGCGCTCCGGCCCCGCCCCGGGCCCGTCATCCGGCGGCGCCGGGGCTGCCCCGTTGCCCGGTGACGATGGCGGAGCGGCGGGCGCGGGGGCCGCTGCAGCGAGTGCAGCGCCGGAGCCGGGAGCTGCGGGCGCAGGTACCGGGGATGTACCAGGGTTGTACCGGCGCTGCACCGGGGATGTACTGGGGCTGCACCAGGGATGTACCGGGGCCGGTCCCGGGGATGTTCCAGGGTTGTACCGGGGCCGGTGCCATACCGGGTGTCTCGCCCCATACCGGGTGTCTCGCCCCCGGCCCTGACCGCCCCGTCCCCTGTTGCAGGTGGAGGCGCTGCGGGCGGAGAGCGCGGCCGCAGCCCCCGGGCAGCGGGAGCCCCTTCGGCTAAGGTGAGGGCATCCCGATCCCCATCCCGAACCCCTATCCCAAAACCCATCCCCCGATCCCAGTGCCCCGGCGCTGCCCTCACCGTCCCTTCTGGTACCCTCAGCAGTGTTCACTCCCTCCGTGCCTTTTCTCTCCCGATTGTGCAGCTTTCTCCCTGCCCTTCCCTCTCCTGTTTTCCAGGCTGGCTCTTTCCCAAATGACACCTTTCAGTCAGCAAGTGTGGTTTGGGTCAGAATTTTAAGAAAATACCATGTGCCTGTCTTGCTCTCAATGCAGATGTACAGAGCTGAAGGAATTGGTCGAGGAGAATACAAAGGCTCTCCACGCTTTGAAAAAAGTAAGTATGGAGATTAATTTGTGGTTTCCTCCAAAATTCACCATGGAAATTGTTTAAAGAAAATCAATGTTCCATTTTAGATGGCTCACAACAAGACCAGTGCCCAGCACTGCACAATCCCTGCTTGTCATCTCTCCAATTTATATTTTTTATATCCATTTAAAACTCACTTGAGTGCTTTATTTTGTCCCAGGTGAAAACTTAACAGAGAATTTCACCTTGGCAGAGTGAAATTCTAAAGAGGGAGTGGCAGCAGCCCAGGAAGGGGAAAACTTGTAAGACATGTCTGGAAAACTTAATTTATAGAGGGACTTTGATTCTTTGAGCAATTAATTGGGGAACTTTGATTGTTTGGGGCATTTGTTGGGTTCTCTGTCAGGCTGACGAGCCTGCGCCGGTGGGGAATTACAGCCAGAGGAAGGAAGAGGAAGAAAAGCTTTTGCTAAGACTCTCCCAGCAGCTGCAGAAACTCCTTCTTGTCTTGGATCAGAAAAATGTGACAAAGAATTATCCAGGGTGAGTAGCTTAAAGATACAAATGCAACTGTTTTTTTAAAGGGTAGCTGGAATGGACCTTGAAAAATCATTATCTCCCCCCCTTAATTAGCTGAAAAATAAGAGAAGGATCAAAGTAGAAGTGCTCAGGAGAGAAGTCATTTATGGCTTGCTGGAATTTTCTCAGGGTGCTGGATAATGGGTGGAATATAAGGTTTGGAGGAGTTTCTTCAGGACAGAGAGAAAAACAGAGGAATGGAAATGCTGTATCTGAATAATGTCCTTGCAGAGGCTTAACAGCATTTCAGAAAGTTTGGTGGGAATGATACTAAAAAAATAGTTTGATTTGTTTTGGGTAGGGGTGAGGAACACCAGAAAGGCCCTCATGCAGAAGAGGGAAATGAAGAAGAGGAGGAGAGTGAAGATGAAGAAAGTGAGGAGGAAGACACTGAAGAAGAAGATGAGGAGAAATTGTTGGATGATCCAAATGTTCGAGAATGTGTTGCTGTTGGGAACTTTGATGCCCAGCAGGAAGGGGATCTCACATTTGTGGTAAATACCTCTCTGTAAAGGATGTTTACTGCAGATCACTCTGAGTTAAGCAGTAACCATAATGAAATCCTGTGCTTTTGGGATTCAGCCAGTTGTGGGATTTGGGGAGAAACTGGAGTTAGGTCCTTTTTCATTTAAATATTTGCTTGTTTTTTTGTCTCTGTCTCTTCCTCCAATGCCAAAGAAAGGTGAAATCCTGCTCATACATGACAAGAAGGAGGATGGCTGGTGGGTAGCTGAAAATTCCAAGGGGGAGAGAGGCCTCGTTCCCAGGACCTACCTTGCGGTGGGTGTCTCATCTCTGTCCTCATCTCACCTCTGCTCTTTTGTATAGATTAATGACCAGTAATTAATGATGTGGTCACAATGCCATGTGTTGTTTGGAAATAAAGCCAGTTATTTGGAAATAACTCCATGGTTTTGTCCATGGGGCTGGAGATACCCATCAAAAGCAGCATTTCTGTGCCTTGTGAAGATGTGGCAGAGAAGTTCCTTGAATATCAAAGTCAGAATCTTTGTCACTTAAAGGTCAACTCTGAAGACTCCAAGCTGCTGTGGCTTGATTTGGGGTTTTAATAATTTATCTGAAATGAGAGTCCATGTAAATATGGGAAAATTTTCTTCATCACAGAGAGAAAATCTCCTTTTCTAAACTTACTTAATTTATTCTAAGCTTATATTAATATGGGCTGTGGTTGGAGGAGGCATTTTTAAGAACAGAACTGGGAAGGAATCAAGCCTTTTGCCATTTAAAATGTGAATTCCAGGTTCCTAAGGAAGAGGAAGAAAGCCAGGAGGAGTCAGAAGAACACATAGAAGTGGTTGATGAAACAGCAGATGGAACTGAAATTAAAAAAAGGTAAATGGAATGCCTCAGATATGGTTGTGAAGCTGCTGCTGTTTGGAAACAGAGCAATATTTAGTGGCTAAATTTTTGTTCATGGGAGGGTTTACTATAAATCCCTCTATTTTCTTCCAGAACAGATTCCCACTGGAGTGCTGTCCGAGCCATTGTAGAGGTAGGTGCCCCTCTCACAGGGCAGCTGCACCTGCCATAATCTTCATTATTTTGCAGAAAAGCTGTGCCTTCCCCAAACACTGTGTCTCATCTCAAAGACCATTGTTCTTAATTAACATCTGTGGTTTGGGAGCTTTTGGTAGCAAGAAATGCCACAAAAATGCTTCAGAAGAGGTGACTGATACCTCAAGTTTCTGGTTGCAAACAGAGCTGTAAATTAGGATGAAACTTGCTGTTAAATAGCAGGACCAGTAACATCCCTTTTCCTTTGTTTTTCCTAGAATGACACCGTGGAGGTGCTGACCACCACAGGGGCAGTTCCTGCAGGGTTTCGCCCATCCATGCTGTTCCAGCTCCTGGAGGAAGGTAGGGATCTCACCTGGCAGCATTCTCAGGTCTCTGTGGTGGCTTTCTCATCCTGTCACCAGCCTGTTGGACCCCAATCCATACTGCTTAATTTTAATTAATTGGCTAACTGGCTATATTTGACCCATAAAAAAAGTATATTTTTTTCCCTTAAATTTTAATTTATCAGTGTGAAATCCTGACAAATTTCCTCATGATTTCAAAGTGTTTCCTCTTTAGAAGTTTGTTCCTGTTGACTTTGCAGGAAATGATGATTTTTTTTTTTGTTTTATTTTAATCTTCCCTTTTTCTCAAAGGTCTTTTCTTGTCTCTTCACCAAATATATTAAGATATTTCATGTTTTGTTAGTCTTTCTGTTTAAAGCTGTTTAATCTCTTTTTAAAATTAAGTTATTGTGCTTTTGAGATGAAATACTTCAGAACACTCACAAATAGTAAACAGTGCTCATGGCAGATAAATCCATTGTTTTGTTTAGTCAAATATTCAACTGGTCATGAATTTTGGGTTGTCCTTTTTGGCACAATAAAGATAATTTGAAAAACGAAGAGTTTGTAAATTTACTCTTGTTGTAGGTGAAGAGTTTCGAGGAAGTTACTATTTGCAACCCAAGCTTACTCCATCCCAGCTGGCTTTCAAAGACTTGGTGTGGAACTCTGAGAGAAATACTGTGAGTATTGCTGCTAAGGAGGGCACAAACCTTATTTGCCTTCTTTCCTTTTGGCTAACAATTATGTCTTAATTTGTATCATTTCTGGTGCAAAAATTTCTTCTGCTGGGACCTTCTGTCTGTCCTCCTAAAACATCCCTGGGGCAGAGCTAAAGGCTTGTGAAGAAATCCTGCTGCCACCACTGCACTGGGTTGGTGCTTGGGAGAATAACCTCAGTCCATAAACACAAGATGAGACCTCGTGCAGAGGGGCCTGTAGGCTTAATCCTCCTTCTGCTGTGTTTCAGATCCATCCTAGACCCACCAGAGTGTCCCTGATTGTCACTTTATGCAGCTGCAAGATGATCCCTTTCCCTGGGAGCGGCGTGCGCGTCCTCAGCCGGCACGTCCGGCTCTGCCTCTTCGATGGCAGCCGGGTAAGGAATGTGTCTGCTCCCCAAAAAGGGACTGCAGGAGGTTTGGAGCTTCCAGCATCCTTCAGGTTCTGCTTCCTCTCTGTCTCACTCAGAGACACACACACAACCTGCCTCCCAAGCTGTTTAATTTATGCTCAGATGAGTCTGATTTGAGCCCACTCGCCCAGAAGAACAGAACTGAATGATAAAACAGGCCAGACTGCATTGATGGGCATGGCCAGGCAAGCACACTCAGCCCTGCTTCCCACCCAAGGTGCTCCACAAGGCACTTGGACCCCTCCCTTTTTCTGCCTTTGGTTTCTCCCCCTCTGCTTTCCTCGCATGGTAATTCAGGTGCAGCCCCAAAATGCCCCAGAGCAGAGTGAGCTGAGCCAGGGAGCTGGTGACAGTCACACCCTGCCCCTGGGGTTGTGCTGGGTGGCCCTGGGAGGGGCTGGGGAGGGAGCTCCATTTCTCTGAGTCCCTAATTTCGGGTCCCCCACCTGCCATTGTGCCTCCTGGCTCCTTTGTGTTCCTGGCAATGAGTGTTTCCTGGGCTGATCTGTCTCCTGGGATGGGCCTGGAGCAGCTGGGTCAGGGGCAGATTCCTCCATGTGCCCTTGATCCTCTGTTCCTTTGTGTGTGTGCAGAGCAGCTTTTTGTAAAAACATAACTCTGATTATCCAGCAGTTTTCTTCCAGTTGTCTTTGTTGTGTGCAGTGTTGGATCCATCTGGGATAGCCCTGCATTTTCTGAAAGGGGCTTTCCAGAAAAACTTACCTTAGTTTTTTTCCCCACTTTAGGTGCTGAGTAACATTCACACAGTGAGAGCCACGTGGCTGCCCAAAAATCCTCAAACTTGGACCTTTTCTCCAAGGGTAGGTGATACAGCCCCTGGCTGTTTACAGCTTCTTCCTTCAGTGTCACTAAAGTGTTCCTCGGTGGCACAGCTGTGCTCCATGGAAAGACAATAAGGGGAGCAAAATTTTGACTGGAATTGTTTCTCTCCTCATTTTTATATGGATTGGGTCTAAGATCTTGTGTTGAGTGAGGGATGTGCTTGATGGCCTTTAAAAATCAAGATTTTTTTTTTATAGGTACATTAACTTCTTTTTTTTTCCCCCCTCCCTTTCTCTGTACCAGGTGATGGGCATCTTACCCAGCTTGCTTGATGGTGACTGTTTTGTCAGGTCCAACTCCCTGTCTTCAGACATTGGGATCTTGTTTGAGCTTGGCATCACCTACAAGTGCAATGTGAGTGTGGGTAGGTGCAGTGGAAACCACTCCAAGGTTTATAAAGGGAACCAGCTGTTCCCAGTTAGAGAATATCCCTCATTAGAGAACAGGATTAGAAAACAGGATTTCCTGGAAGGAGCCTACAGGAAAGATGGAGAGAGGACTTTTCACAAGCTCATGTAGTGATAGGACAAGGGGGAATGACTTCCCACTATCAGAGGGCAGGGATAGGTGGGAAGGAATTCTTCTCTGTGAGGGTGCAGAGGCCCTGGCACAGGTTGCCCAGAGGAGCTCTGGCTGCCCCTGGATCCCTGGAAGTGTCCAAGGCCAGGTTGGATGGGGCTTGGAGCAACCTGGGATAGTGGGAGATATCTCTGCCCGTAGCAGGGGGTGGAACAAGATAATCCTTAAAACCCCTTCCAACCCAAAGCATTCTGGGATTCTCTGATAGGAGAATATCCCTAATTAGAGAATAAAAATCCCCCTGGCTCATGGACATGAGTGTCCCTGTACCAACACTGAAATAACTTGTGCCAAAGATCCCATGCCATGGGATCACAATGGACTAGTTCTCCCCTCACTCCTGCAGTTTTCCATCTCTGTGGTTTATTTCAGACTAATGTCCTGTACAGTTGGAAAACTAAAGTTTTAACTGTTTCAGCAGCATGGACAGTGGTCTGCAGCTCCAGTTTACACAGATAGAGCCTATCCATCTGGGATATGCTACTGGAAAGCACAACAGGTAGTAAAACAATAGATGGTAAAGCCAGAAAAACGACCCTCAGAGAAGGCAGGTTGTGGTTTTTGAACACACAAAGGTGAAAGAGGAAAAGGGGATAATTACAACAATTTTCACATGGTTGCTGTTATTAATTGTGGTTCAGTCACTCATTCTGGGTCAGCTACTGATATAATTTACATTTCTCTTTTTTTCCTAGTCAACAGGTGAAAGAGGAGAGCTGAGCTGTGGCTGGGCCTTTCTGAAGCTTTTCACTTCCACTGGGATTCCTATTCCTTCCAAGTGAGTTTGTTGCCTTTTCCTGCTCCCCCTGTATTTACACACAGATGTAATTTATACATCTGTTTGAGACTGAGAGTAAAATTCATCTTTCATACTTACACACTGCTGGGGCAGGGGGCATCCAGACCAGTCCTTTGGCATTCTGGCTCTTCTTTGCTGCATCCATCCCTTTCCCAGGGGAACATTGTAGACTGGTTCCCAAGACATGGAGTCAGGTGGGAGTTGTTGTGAATTAATCTCCCACCAGTCTTGGAGTATGAATTATATTTTTCAGCTGATTTATGATTAGTGGGTCCAGTCATCTGAAAGAATAATGAAGTTTGTATATTTTTATTTTATTAAATGTAGGAAAACTTTCTGTTTATTGACTTAAATAATTCATTGTAGCTCAGACTTTCAAGACTTGGTTTTTGCCAAATATTGGTACACACACACACACACACACACACACACACATATATATACAGAGAGAGAGAGAGTGTATATGTATTCTGAATTTATCTGGGTAACAGCTCAAAAAAAATACCCATGGGACACCTCTACTGTACTAGAACTCTAAATCTCTTCTAAGTCTCATATTTTAAATGTTGTTTTATTATTTCATTAAGTAAGATGGTATTACAGATTAAATTTCATGCTAGTTTCAGCAGTGACTTACTCTTGGCAGAACTGGGGTTACATTATTCTTTAACAAATTTTAAATCTGAAAGATTTTAATTGTTGAAGTGGTGCTTCCTCAAAACCATTGCAGCGAAACAATTGCTAAATTCCTTGCAAGAAAAATATTTGAGCTGTGGAAAAGAAACAATGTTGTTAATGGCTTTTAAAATAATTGACCTCCCAGTACAATTAAATTCCAAAAATAGTTGAATTCCCAATATCATACAGGCTTCAAATTGATCTTTATTGGCAGGATGCATGAGCTGGTCCTGAGTGGTGGAACTCCCTATGAGAGAGGCGTTGAGGTTGACCCATCAATATCGAGGAGAGGTGTGGTTTCTTTTCAATATAATATAAACATAATAATGTGATTAATGTTGCATCTCCTTCACAACAGTCCCCACAGCCTGGCTTGGGTTTGTGTGTTCTGTTTTTGCATGCATTTTATTATTTATCTGCTTTTGCCTTGGCTGTGGGGAGCTGGGTACTACCAGGCTAACTAAACTTGAAAGAGTTCTCAACCCACTGAAATGCCTATTTTTGTAATATAATCATTACTGTTGTTTCAAACTGACTGTTTGAATCTGTGCTGTCTCTACCTGCAGCAGGCTCTGGGGTTTTTCAGCAGCTTATGAGCCTCAGGAAGCAGCCTGTGCTTCTGGTGAAAGTGAAGTCACCGAGTGTGCACTCCAAAGACATCCTGAAGTGAGTCCTTGTGCTTCCATAAAATAAAAAAGTATTCCAGACAGCCTAGAGAAATCTGCAGTGTTTGCAGTGAACACCTCAGCTGCTGTCCCTTATTCTCCCAACAGTTTTCTCCCTGAAACATTAGTTGGGAGCATGTGCTACATCCATCTCCTGGTGTTTTATCGGCAAATCCTTGGAGATGCCCTCCTGAAGGACAGGCTGAGCATGCAAAGCACAGGTGAGCACTGGAGGAAGATCAGGTTCATCCAGGGAATGACTCTTGCCAGGTCTGCCTTTGGTAAGAGATGTTTTTGGCACTCAGGCTAAGTTATCCTCTTTATTTTTAGTTTTTAATTATTATTTACTTGCTGACAGTAGGGAGAGACAGAAGTTGGAGAATTCTGGATTTAGAACTCAGTGTCTTGCCCTGATTATTCAACAGAACTAATGATAGTTCATAGCCTTCTCCATTTTAAAACCAACTTGAAATAAGGAAAAATTACATTTCTTGACTGTACTACATATGAATTTATATAGGTGAGAACTGCCACACTTACCTGATTTGATCTGCATAATTTAGGACAGTAGATCAGGCTGATGACCTCTCCTGGAGTTAAATTCCCTTTGGATTCAGACTTCATGTGAAGCCATTGCAAGGCTTGAACCCGGGAGTTGTTCTGGTAGCTGTGCAACTAAAGATGATTTCTATTATTTCAAAATCCACCATCACTTTAGGAATAGACAACTGAAAATGTCTGTTCTCCTTCCCAGAAGGAAGTCCTGGCTCTCTTCCCCGAAATGTTTGGGCATTAGTAAATGCTTCATGTTTACCAAACTTAGCATCAGCTTCAAGGTGAAGGGACAATTGTACATTCAATATTTGAAATCACATGATAAAGAAAACACTTCAGCCAAAATCCTGCTCTCTGTCACTTGGAATCTTACCACAGTCTCATTAATTAAAATAATCACAGGAGCAGAGTGATTTCTCATGGAAGTGACCCAAAAAGCACCAGGACACCTGTGCAGTGGGATATGTGCTCCATTGGGAAAATTCACTGTGCACTTGGTCCTTGGTTCTCCTAAAATGCCACACCAGGCTGAGGTAGAACCCAAGTGTGTTTATCCATAACATCCAAACTAAGCAGCACAATTGCAGCTGTGTATAAAAAAGGCAGGTGCAGAAATGAGGGAAAACACCTCTGGCAGGTAAATCAGGAAGGGTTCATGTTTGCTGGCGTTCCCAATAAACAGCACTGGGGTTTGTGTGTCCCCTCTCCTGGTTTAACTGTCTCTCAGCCACTGAGAATTGGCTGCAGTCAGAACAGTTTTTAGGGAGTTCTCCTACCTTCCCTGCTCTAGAGAACTGTCACAGCTCATTTTCCCTTTGGAATAATCTGACAGGAGGGGATGTGCTGAGTACCTGGATGTGCCAATACTTTGAAAGCTGATTCTTCCTTAGCTTTGAATGTGTTTGTTTTCTGTTTCAGACTTAATCTGTAATCCTCTTCTAGCAACTTTCCCTCAACTCCTGGATCAGCCAGACCTGATGGATGCACTTCGGGTATATTACCTTGTCAGGATTTCCAAGCTCAATTTGAGCTGCTTTTTTTTTTTTTTGTCCTGGGAGAAGACAAAGTTCTCCAGCCTTGCTCTGATTTTTCATTTCATTTTAGAGTGCCTGGGCAGAGAAAGAAAGAACATTGAAGAGAATTGAGAAGGTAACAAACTGCAGGTTTTTCTTCCCATATATTCAGGGTAATTCCACCTAGCTGCTCCCTGCCAGTGCAATCGCTGCTTAGCTTTTCCTCTCGCCATACATCTGTTTAGAAAATAGAGATATGTAAATGCAGTTCTTAACATTTCTCACCCAGATTTATAACAGTAAACCAGGAGCAGGAGGAAAATGAAATTAACTTGTAACTTTTTATTTCAGTGTTGTTAGGGGGGAACCTGTTACAGGTTGGTACCCAGAGAGGCTCCCTGTCATGATGTGCTTCTAACAGTCATGGATACAAAAAGGGACTGTGTATGCCCGCAAAATCATCTTCCTTCCTCCAAATTCTGAGCTTCAGTCCTCCCACAATCTGCCTGGGAAAAGGCTCCCTAAATTCCTCAGATCTCCCTACCCCAGAGAGTTGTAGTCCATGTTTTGGCACGTAGGCAGCTGGAGAATTTACCTGGTTGTCCCTGGGCTCACCCAGACCTTGTCCTACATCCTGTCCCCTGGACAGGGAGCAGCTGCAAGAACTGAATGAGAAAGCCATTGGCTCTCAGTGCTGGATTTCCTGGAAGCAGCAGTGGGATATTTCATTCCTGTGCATGCTCCTGAATTGATGCACAAGGATGGCTCCCTGTTTACGCAGAACAAACACCCGCTGAGTCAGAGCAGCTTTTTCAGGGCCATTCATCCAAAAGGAGAGCAGATCTGCTCACGGAATTGGCAACTCCCTGGGATCCCAGAACCATCCAGTTCTACCTGACTGGCATGTGCCACTCCCAGGGGAGGATTGCTGAATGCTCACCCCTGGTGTGGTTCCATGAGGCTGAGCTGTGAAACGCTCCCTGCCAGGCACAGCACTCCTGGGGCTGGGACACTCCGGACTTGGATCTTGCCCAGGGGTTTGATAATTGACCAGGCTGATCCTTTGTCTGTGGGTTTTCCAAACTGATCTTCGCAGGGGAGCACACAGGTCACACCATGCACAAAGAGTGGGACAGCAGTGCCCAGGGGCAGCATCAGCTCTGGCTCCAAGGAGCGGGATCAGAGCCATGCTCCGCCTAGGACAGCAGGGAGATGAGAGGAGTTTGGGTTTCCAGGGCAGGGAGGTTGTGGCACTGCTTTTAAGAAATATAAATACCCCACAGCAAAGGGCTCTCAGTGCCTGTAGTTTGTGGGAAGGCTGGCAGAGTTCAGGTTTGTGGATATGCTGGAGGCTTATCCGAGATAACAGATGCATGTTTAGGAAGGTCAAATCTCTTCCCATTGTTTTCCTGGGAACTGGGAGTGAGTTGCTTGGGATTTTTCCCTGTGTACAATACTTTGGAAAAGTGCTTGGCAACCATGTGTTTGCACTGAGGTATTTTTAAACACTCTTCTCTGCAGAGAGATCAAGAATTCCTAAAGTCTGCGTTTGTCCTGGTGTACCACGACTCTGTGTTCCCTCTGCTCTGCTCCACGTCCCTCCCCAGCTACAGATGGGCTGAGGAAGAGGTGGAATTGTCTCGCTGGAAGGTGATCCATGACTTCCTGAAAAGGAGCCAGGAGAAGGATGGTGCCCTGGAGTACCTGCTGTCATCAGAAAACACCCACAGAGCCTTTGACATCTCAGAGCTGGCCTATGATTTCTTAGGAGAAGTGAGGGAAAACAATCCTGGAGAATGAACAATTCAGGCTCTCTAAGGACGTGGTAACAATAAAATTAAGTTCTTTCCAAAGAGATTGTGTAGGAGCTGAATTGTAATGGATATTTTAGCACAATTAAGATTTTGAGAGAGATTAAAATTATTTTATCTGTTTATCTGCTGGAAATTGTATTTTAAATTTTTAACTTTGCAGGGTTAAACAAGGCTCTGGTTGCCTATTACTACCTGTTGTAGCTATGTCAGGTGTCATATTTTGCCAAAGCTGAGGTAGCCTTTTTCTCTTCTCATGCAGCTTCCAATTAATTTCCAGTGTAGTTTTAATCAGGGTGAACAAAAGACTCTTTGTCCCAGTCCCCCAGCAGCTTGGGAGCAGGGAAGGGAAAGAGCAGAGATCTCTAAGAATGCTGCTGAGCAAGGACAGCCAGCTTAAGGGAAGAATCCTCTCTTGCCCAACCAGTGACCAGCAGGTTGCTCCGTTTTTAGACTGTTTGCCTGCTCCTCTCCCCCACTCAGGAGAAGGCTGGGTTCCTCCCAGGAATGTGCCTGACCCAACACAAATAGCAGCAGGTGGGAATCCTGGGAATGCTGTGTTTCCCCAGGATTGTTTCCTCTGCTGACCCCTGAGCACCTTGTGACCACAGGCTCTGTGTGCTGTCCATTCCCAGGGGGAAGTGATTAATCCACTTTCTCTTTAGTGCTGGAGCATCTGGATGCTTCCTGCAGGGCGATGGGGACATTGCCACCGAGTCACACCTGGATTTAAGCCCAGGCCAGGCTCAGTTTTGTCTGGCGAGATTTGAAACAAGATTTTTGAAAACCTCCACTGCATGGAGCCAAAAACCAGCTCCCACTGGAGTATCTGTAAACTGGAGCCTCCAGAAATACCACCGGACACTTCCCCCAGCCTAGGAAGCGCTCAGAGACATGGATTTGATCTTTGCTCTGTGTTGTGCAAGAGCTTGGCATAGAAGCCAAGTTCCTGGGGCATCACCTGTCTCGCCTAGTAGAGCTGGGATAACTCACTGGGACAGTGTCTTCCTCCTGCTGTAGCCCATTGCCCTGGTTAATGGGGTCAGTCTGTCCTCTCTGAGCCACCAGGCAGAAGTGCCACCCCCAGCCTTTCATCCCACCCCTTATATGGGAGTTCTGGGGCCAGGCAGAGTGCGCTGGATGAGACAGCAAGCGCTTCCCGAATCCAAACTGCATTTGCCAGGAGGCAGAAATTCCTGCAGCTCCCCTTCACACCTTACTGGGCACTCGGGAGCACATTGCCAAACCCTCCCGGTGTGCTTGTAAAATTTACCTGCGAGTTTCTGAAGGCTGGATGTGCCTGGAGGGTGTGGAGGTGTCTGACGTGACCGCGGAGCAGAAACCTGAACAGAAAGGGGAGGAGGCAACAACAGTGGAAGCTAAAATATTTCAGGATTGGAAGCGTGCCAAGAGAACTGTTTGCAGGAAACATTTCTGTGCCGGCAAGGTGTAGGAAATTTTTTCTTTCCCTCTCCAATTAATGACCTTGCATTGGTGCCCGGCGGGGCCGGGGTGCCATGTGTCCCATCGCGGCTGGCAGGGGGATGCACAGAGCGGCGCAGCCTCGGGCGGTGCCAGGGCTCGGCGGGCCGGGGCAGCGGCGCGGTGCCAGCCCGGGCCGGTTCCTGTGCTTACGTCCCGCGGGCGTGTCCCTTAAATCCCGCACGGGAGCGGCGCGGGACAGGCGAGCGCCAGCGGAGCCGAGCGGAGCGCTGTCAGCGGGGCAGAGATGGCCTCGGTGGGTCCCTCCGCAGCCTCCACGCAGCCCGACCTGCCCTCCGGAGCCGCCGTCTTCAAAACCATCCCCTACGCCTTCATCCTGCCGGAGATCGTGAGTATGCCTCGCTCCGCTGCCTCACGGAGCCCGCTCCTGGCTAAAATCCCCCGAAGCCATCCTGAAGGCAGCCTGACTGGGGAGTGACATCTTGTCTTTGAGCTTACGCTGAGTGCACAAAGTATTCCTGATGGGGTTTTTTAGGAACAGCTTAAGGACAAGGCACACTCGGCTCCATCACAGCCTGCGTGAGGGTCACTGGCTGCAGTGGGGCTGGGAGAGGCTGAAGAGCTGCTGGCTCATCCAGGGCAGACTGGGAGCTCTCGTTATCATGAAGCAGCTCTCTCTAGAAATGGCTGGAAAATCAAGGCAGTTTTGCTCTCTGTATCTAGTAGTTCCAGGGGTTGAAGGCATTTGGGCGTCTGGTAATGTGTGATGACATTCCATGATTCTTTCAATTGCTTCTGGGTCCAGAGGGCATCCAGTGAGACCAGCCAAGATAGCACCTGATGTACTTTGTCATGGTGCACGGGGCTGGCAACCCACACACCCTGTGCTCACGGGCACAATCCCTGCCCGTGGTGGTGGGCTCAGCTCCCTGCTGCAATTCCAGGGGTTTCACCCACCACAGCTGGGATGGCACAGGGTGGCACGGGCTCATCTCGATGACCCTGTGGGCTTTTTGTGCTCAGTAAATATTTTGGGTGGATCCAGAGCGAGCAACTCGCTCCAGGCTGGTGCGTGGAGTGAGAGGAGACTTCCTTGTGCTGTGATTCCAAGCCCTGGAGATTAACGAGTGGGCAGGGCTGGGTTGAGGCAGCCGCTCACTTTTCCCAGATAAAAGCACATTTTCTGGCTTCTCCACCAAATCCCTCGGGGTGAGACATTTCCTTGTCTGCAAGGCGGCAGCAAACCCTTCCCTTTCGTGTGAACACTCATTTCCCCTGAGTTTTCAGGGAAACCAGTGCCAACTTGCTTGCTTGCTTCCCATAGCACTGGGATGCTCTGGGACAGATGCAGGGGTTCTGCTGGCTGCTGCAGCTGGCCCAGGAGGGAGGCGAGGAGGGAACTGGGGAGGAAAAGAGCTTTTCCTCATCCCACACTCATCAGCGGCGCCTGTTTGTCCCCGGCAGGTCTGCGGGACCTGGGTGTGGATCCTCGTCGCTGCTACCTCCGTCTCCTTGCCGCTGCTGCAGGGATGGGTGATGTACGTGTCCCTCACCTCCTGCCTCATCTCCCTGCTGCTCCTCTTAAGCTACCTCCTCGGCTTCCACAGGAACAGTGAGAACTGGAAAGTGCTGGTAAGGAGGGGATGGAACAGGGGTTGGCAGATGTTGGCAGCAGCAACGTGGGCACAGGATCACCATGGCTGGTGACCAACCAACCCTTTCCTCCTTTTGCCTTGACTGGAAAGTCCAGGGGAGCTCTGCTGTGAAACCACTGCTTGGTTTGGTCCCAGGCCTCTCCAGGCAGTGCCCCTTTGGGGCACTCACAGGTGCCTTGTTTTGCAGGACAGTTTGTACCATGGCGCCACGGCCATTCTGTACATGAGCGCCGCTGTCCTGCAGGCCAACGCCACCATCAACTCTGAGTTCGGCGTCAACGCCAACTACCAACTCAACAGCGCTGCATCGGTGAGTCCAGAGCACCCTGCCGGGCTGCAGGACACACACTCACCCCTGCAAGGGCAGCAGCACGTGCTAAAGCCACAGCAGAGCCACCCTAAATGCCAACAGGGCAGAGTTTCAGCTCCTCAGCTCTGCGGGTTGTGCAGCTGGCATTGGCTTCTCAGGGTGCACCAGTTCACGGACAGCCTAATGTTGCTGGTGCTGAGAAAAGCTGAGGCTTTGCCTCTCCTTTGAGGCTGGAGGGAGCTCTGTGCTGGGAGGCTTCCCCATGCTGAGAGCACTGGGAGGAGATGGGGTTTGACTCTGCCAGCTGACCCTTCCTCTTCTTCCTCTCGTGCAGTTCTTCGCCTTCCTCACGACCTTCCTGTACATCCTCCACGCCTTCAGCATCTACTACCAGTGATCCTGGCAGCACCAGATTCACCTTGACAGGACGAGGGCTTTCCCAGTGTGAGAGACCTTGCTGTCATCCCAAGGTGTCCCTGCTCCAGCCCTGTCACCAGGCCTCAGGAACAGCAAGTCCTTTTGCACTCCATCACAGGAGGGATTTTGCTGGCACAAGTTGGTGTGCCTGTGGGACATTTCCTGCCTTGCCTGGGGGAGGGACTTGTGAGGGGAGGGACTGGGTGCAGGCCCCAAGCCTCCAATACCAACATTCTGCCAAATATTGACAACCATGCGAAGAGAAAAAAAAAAAATCACTGTTCCTTCAGCAAACAATCTCCTTTCTTATGTCATTTGCCTTTCTCCGGTTCAGCTCCATCCCTCCCCAACACAAGTTCATAACAATGATACAAGATTGTGTTCCTTGACTTTTAGATGGTTTCATTTGGTAAATGCTGTATTTGGAATAAAATGTCAACGGGCAGATTTTGACTACTCTGTAAGCTGTGTTCACTGAAAAAACCCATTTTACTTCCCAAGAGTTAGAAAAGAAACAGAAAATGTTCACTTACAAAGCTACAACAGATTGTAAACAAGCAAATCCTAGAACCCATAGGAAATTTCTAGATGTAGTACAAAACTACAGCGTGAAAAGAATGATTACACGGGAGGAGAACAGGCATTTACAGCAGCTCTCCTCCCGTGTCTCCTGATTCCCATTACAAAACCTGTGGCTGTGGAGTCCAGGCACCGGCACCGCCGTCCCGGAGCACCGGTGTTACTGCCGTCCCTCCTCCGTGTCCTGTGCCTCGGAGTGACTGGAAGGAGCTCCCTCCTGTCCCTGCTCCAGGCAGTCCTGCAGCTCTGGGATGCTGTTGGCTCGCAGCACATCCAGGTAGAGCAGGTAGTCCTGGAGGCAGGCTGGCAGTGGCAGCTCCCGGATCACACGCTCCGAGCGCAGGCGCTCGCTCCCCAGCAGGGACCGGATCTCCAGGCGGCACAGGTGGGACAGGGAAGGAAGGAAGGCTGGAAAATGGAATCCCAAGTCAAACACAGAGCAGCTCTTACTACACCAATATATTTACCAATAAAAAAGGAAATCAAGAGTGAACTTAATCTCAATTTTCCCAAATAACTCCCGTTTTTTAAACTCCAAAAACATCCTCATTAGCTTCAAGCATTCTAAAGGAAATATGATAAAATGACATTATCACTTGGACAACTTAAAATTATTACAGACTCTTTTAAAGAATCATTTCCTTTGAAAGGAATTATTAACATCTAAGTGCAGTTTCTCAGTCACATAACACAAGACCTGCTTTCCTGAAGGCTGAACTATGAAAAATTCCTGCACAGCCAATTGAATCTTTTTGGCTGGTCACATTTTGATTATGTTTGATTTTTATGGTTTGCATTTAATTCCTGCCCAATGCTCACAAAACAGGACAGATGCCTCATTGGAAATACAAATCAAATCAGAGAAGTAAAACATAACTAAGTCATATTGTCATCTTCTCCTAAATATTCCCATCTGCAGCCTGGAAGCTGGACACACGGAGACATTATTTTCCTGCCTCTATTCCTTACCAAAATGGCTCTTGGAAGTCCAAGTGAACTTCTCCTTGTATTGGGAAAGGTGTTGCTCCACAATTGGAGGAAGTCTGCTCCAATTCATGAACTCCAGGACAAAATTAAGGACATCCTCACTCATGGAGAAAATCCTGTGTAACAAAGACTTCTTTAAAATACCTTTTTAAAGTATTTGTAGATTACAGAATAAAAGACCAAAAAGCAACACATGTGATACACAAAGACAGTGACATTCATTCAGTGACTGAGTAGCAAACTTGTGGTGTGTTTACTACAGCCTGCAGAAAATACAAATATTTCAAAACTCTAAGTTTAATCCTGTAGTGCCCAATTAAATTTAAAACATCACCAAGCTGTTGTTTATATGTGGAAAAACTTCAATAATAATAATAATAAAAAAATCTGACTGGAATTTTTGCCACATTGTGTTAAACAAAACAGTCTCAAACTGCATCCGTTTCCTCTCCTCCCAGCCTTGGCCCAGCTTCATTTCCCATTTGTTTCCCATCCCTCCTGACCTATTTCTCCCATTGAAATTTCTTCTTACCATGGCTGTATTAAAGTATCACACACACAATTTGCAGCTAAATTTGGGGGTTAAGTAGAGATGTTAGATATAAACTTGGGAAGTGACCCTTTATTGCTATTCTAGAGAAAGGCAATTTCCAGTCTGGCTTTCTTCCTAAAGAAAATTGTTTTACTGCCTCCAGACATGACGTGTGAATGATTTATTTCAGACTTTCCACAACCCCTCCCGTTCCTGATGGTGGCAACAGATTATCAAGGGCCATCCTGTAGCAGCTTTGCACATTAGCATGGGATGTTTGAGTTAAGAAAGACAAGGCTCCCTGCTTTACCAGAACCTGTGCATGAAATTCACGGGGTTGAAGCCAGCCAGGAGCAGGCAGGGCAGCCATTCCTTGTATTCCTTCTGCACTGTGCTGCTGTAGAGGATGAAGTCTGTTAATTCCTCCTCCGAGGGCAGGGAACAGCCAGACCTCAGGAAGCGCCGGAACAGAGCAAACTTCTTATGGCACAGGCAGTGAGCCAAGTTGATGCCACGCAGGGTGATGCCGTATTTCAGAAGGACATCAATGAACTGGTAATACCTGTGAGCAGAAGGAACAGGGCATCCCGTGAGCTTTGCCTCAGAAAGCACCCACCACTTGTTACATCTGTCTGCAATAAAACGTTTCAAAATGTTTTTATTCAAATCCTTTTATCATTACCCCCAATAGGGTAAGGACTGAGACTGTGACTGGTGCTGCCTTTTAGGGATTAGAGGGCACATTCCTCCACAGAAGGGGTGACATGTGTTACCTGCCTCGTTCACAGAGCAATCACCTGCTCTGCATCCCTTCCTAAATTACTTATTATAAAGCAGCACCAGGACAGAAAGGGAAAAATGGTGTCCAAGGATTTTTAAAGGCAGCTTCCTAGGAGCAGGCCAGGAACTAAATTCACTACTAACAAACCTTGTTAGTTTAAATGGCAGCCATAAATAAATTATAAATAATATAAATATTTTATATAATTATATATAATTATTAAAATAGAAATATTTATTTATTATAAATATTATAATAAATATTTATTTATTATAAATAAATAAATTTCAATCCATGTACAAAGAAATAATCTGTTAAAATCTGAGAGGATTCAAAAGCCGTTTTTGAAGATGTTTTCCTTAGTCCAGCAAGTGAGTCACACTCCAGGGCTTCACATTAATGTTCTCAAGGAAATGGGAATAATGAGGAGTGTCTGCAAAGGGGGAACACACTGGCATTCTGGAAAAACGTTAGATGATAGAAAGCAGTTGAGGGAAGAAGGTGGAAACTACAGTTAAAAGCAAGTTAATTAAAGCAAATATGATTACGAATAACTCCAAAATAGAAGAGGTTTGCTTACTGCTTTTGGAAGATCATGCACATGGGGGACCTGCAGCCGAAGTCCAGGCACTCCTGAGCATCTGGGCTGAAGCCCTGCTTGAGCAGCATCTCCAGGCACTCGCCGTCCCCGCCGTACAGTGCGGAGTACACCGGGCTCACTTTGCCCTCGCCCTTGTCACACACCCGGTCAGTGACTGGAATCAGCAGCTCCAGTATCCTGCAGATGTTTAAAACCACTGCTTTCTGATCTCATTGCAATGACTAATCTTAAACACACAGCTGTTTTTTCACAGGGTCGTTGCAGCTTTGGAAGAAAATTGTGTTTTTTCACTCTTGAATTTGCAGCTTTATCATTCCATACACAGACCCCCGGCAAATGTTGTGCTTTGGAATGGATTTGGGCTGGAAAGAAGTATTTTAAACCAAAGCAGGGACAGCTACTTACTATTACCCAGCAACTCCTTCTACAGCAACAGAACACCACTGCACACTAAATCCCAACTCCAAGCAAGTTTGGAAGCAAACTGTAAATGTGAGCTGCAAATGAAATTAATTCTTATTTCTATGAAACAGAAAAATCATTCTGTTTACACCTCACACTCCAGGCCACATCACATTAGTGACAAACACCAGATCCTTTGGTGCTGGAACCTACTGGTGCTGCATAAGAGTTGCCAGTGATGTATCATCATTTATATATTTAAGTGCTGTCCATGTGTGAATCATGGAGTTCCTGAGAGATCCTTCTCCCCAATGGTCTACTCCCAAAACTTCCTTCCACTCTTGGCTCGCTGCTGTGGAACTGACTTGTATATCTGAAATTGGGCAAAGCTGCAAATGCATCTCTGGAAAGATTAAAGAAACTGTTTCTGTGGCTTTGATTTTTCTGGCTGGTCCAGCTAATTCAATATTTGCATATAATTACTTTTGCTACTTAATATAGAATTCTAATTAGCAGCTGTTCGAGTAATGTATAATGTATAACATGGTTATTTGCATTTTTAAATGGAAAAGTAAAATGGCCATGGAATGAATTGGTATCTGGTATCGTGGAAAACCCTCTAAATTCCTTAGGCTATGGATCAAACACATGTTAGATGCTGAATTAAAAATCATATAATCACAGAATGGGTGGGGTTGGGAGGGACCTTCAAGGTGATCCAGTTCTACCCCCTGCAATGGGCAGGGACACTTCCACTACCCCAGGTTGCTCCAAGCCCCATGCAACCTGGCCTGGAACACTTCCAGGGATGGCACAGCCACAGCTTCTCTGGGCACCCTGTGCCAGGGCCTCACCCTCACAGGGAAGCATTTTTCCTTAATATTTCATCTAAACCTACTCCCTGTCAGTGTGGAAGAACTACTAAAGAGACATTTAAAATACAAAAATAATCAGAACTTCTAAACTACAGTTTGAACACTCAATTTTCCTCCCTTTTAGGGTTGAACTTCCTCCTTTGGGGATCAGATTTGTGTGACCAGGACCTTCTGTCTGAATGCCTCTTCAACCACCTACTTTGCATGGCCCATCTCAGCTGCTGCATGGATGGGTAACTGCCAGTTATCCTCGTTGCAGTAGAGGTTTGGGTCTGCCCCTGCAGCCAGCAGCCGCTTCACACAGTCCAGGTGTCCCTCCTGCGCAGCAATCAGCAGGGGAGTGGCCCTGTCCTTGGCCTGGCAGTTGACGTCCGCACCTGGCACAAGACAAAACCAAAGTCACCTCCATCAGTCATTATCCTCCACAGGGTGGCTTCCAATTCAGCAAGGTCTCCTCAGCAATAAGGAAATAAAACCTGTAACACTTGAAAAGATGATGTGCAGGAGCAGAGCTCCAGTTGCACTCAGTGGGAGCTGCTGGGAGGGAGCGTGGCCAGGGAAATGGAGGGTGGTGGTTACCGTGGGACAGAAGCAGGCGCAGACTCTCCAGCTGGCCATACTGAGCAGCCACAAACAGAGGGGTGATTCCAAAGTCATCACGGCAGTCCTTGCTGGCCCCTTTCTCCAGGAGCATTTGCATTATCTCAGTGCAACCCTGAAATCAGTGTTTTTATTCTCAACCAGCAGGAAAGCGAGGAAATGACACGACCCGTTTTCCCCCACATGATCCAGACAGAAATAATAAAACCCATGATATGTATTCAATATACTGAAGATGCACTTAAAAATTAATGGTAAAAGAAATTAGGCAAGTTTAAATTGATCACTTTTGCTCATTTACATGATAAAGTGATTTGTATGTGTTAGAACCATTAAGCCAACATATTTTTAAGTACAAGCTTATGACTGCTAGGGTGGGTTAGGAAAAATTACCTGACAAAAATGCAATAATTATTAAATAAATAATTATCCCCCAGAATGCACCAGTTACACCAAAATTACATTATGTGCTCACAGGTTACCTGAAAGGAAGCTTGGTGCAAAGAATTCCATCCAGACCAAGAATGAGAACCTTCAATATTTGCTCCGTGTTGGAGCAGGAACTTGACAACCTCTGTATGTTTATTTTCAACAGCTTCCACAGAACAGAAATAAAAAGAAAAAAATCTTATTGAAGAATTTGAAAAAGAAATAATTTAAGTATTTGGATTTAAAAGCTCAAAAGGTCTCACTGCCAACTTCCTGAAACAATAATCACAATTCCTTTAAACTTGCCCATTATATACTGGCTTGCCTTTTATATTTAGATCCCCAAAACAGTGTTGGGGAATGGAAATGATGCCAAACTTGAAAAATACTTGGAATCAAAGGTAACATGGCACGCATGGTGTCTGGGTAGAGAGGCAAGTAAACCAATAAAAGTATTTAATCAGATTATTTAGAAGCATTCAATTAAGTCAAACATAAGTCATAGAAAAAAATGTTGAAATAATGGACCTTAATTGCCAAACTAGGAATGTCAAAAATAAGTCTTTTTACATAAGAATTAGGGAGGAATTATAAAAATCATAAAGGCTTTGAAACAGCCTCATACAGATGTAATCCTGAACCTCCTAAAGTTTTTCTGTGCTTGATGCAGAAAATATATTTGCTTTTATAATTTATAATTTGCTTTTATATTTTGTTTTAAAACATTGTCTGAAGCAGATTTACCCATAAACAAAAGGCTATTTCCACACCTCTGAGTCTAAAGCCTGTTTATTTAGGGCTACAAAAATATGCAACATGGCAGGCAAGTAAGAAACTCTGGTGAGTTTAAACTCGGAGAAACTTGAGTTTTAACTGGTGAGTTCAAACTCTGGGGCTTGAGGAAAGCTTGTGTCACCTAGGAAGAGTGGGGTGGTGGCAGATTCAGTGGTGACATTGTCCAGGTCAGCCCCAGCTTCCAGGAGAACCCGGAGACATTCCAAAGAGCCGTGACGGGCTGAGAGGTGCAGAGCACACATCCCTTCAAACGTCCTCGAGTGGATGTAGTCATCAGCTGGAGCTGCAGAGGAGCATAATGACAGGAAAAAGGGGATATTTGGCAGTGAATTGCAAAATACAATAATTTTAAGAAAATAACAGAGTTATTTGAGATATGTGGCCTACGGAACACCCATGAATATGCTGTTATCACCTCAAGAATCACCCATGAATCCCAACATGTCAATTTCTACTTCCCACAGTCAGGAAACCACACAGAAAATCCCCAAACAAGGATAGGATAAATCTATGGAACTTGTATTTTCTATGACAGGGTAATTTAGCCCAAAATCACACTGTTTCCCATTAGGTTTTCCTTACCTGTATCAATGAGGAGCTTCAGGCACTCACTGGAATTGTGCGCTGCCGCTTCGTGGATGGGCAGCCACCTCCTGTTATCCGGGACATCGACGCTGTATCCCCGATTTATCAGTTCCCTCAAAATCTCAACATTGCCTTCTCTGGCTGCAAGGCCCACGGCCGAGCACCTGTCGGAATAGGCTTCTGTGAAATCCATCCCTGGCATGGAGCTCTGCAGCAGGAGGAAAGGAGTAGAGGGGGAAAAAACAAAGAGAGATGTGTGTTGGCACAATATAGATATGAGGGGGGTTTAGTTTGTTTAGCAGAGGATTTGGTTTGGTTTGTAGGGAGATGGTGGTTTGGGGGGCTTAGGGAGAGGTAATTGCCAGGTGTGAAAAATGCCAATGACATGTTTTTAAAATTTTTTAAAAGTTTAATAGTAATAAAATGGTTATTAAAATAGTAATACAATTAGAGTAATAATAATTTGGACAATTTGAATCAGGAGAATATGAAACAATAGGAACAAAGAGTTACGGACGTCCAGGTACCTTTTTCTGGGCAAAATAAGCCCGAAGAAGGACCCACGTTAACAGAGGATTAACCATTAAAAACAACAGCCTGTTGCATATTCATACACCTCATACATGATGCATAAATTCCATTCAAATACAGGATTCTGTCCGGTCAGTGTCAGCTTCTTCCTCTTAATCCTGACTGCACCTTCAGGACTGAGCAAGGCAGGAAGAAGTTCATTTCTTCTGATAATGGAGCAATAAATTCTCTTTCTCTGAAAGATTTAGGTGTCCTGTGGCTGCTATCTCAGTGCGAATCCTTTCTTTAGAAAAAAAAGTATCATACATAGCACAGTTTCTATTTTAACATTTTGTTATAACCTAAAACTGTATTTAACACACTATTTGAGAGAATTAACACAGCATTACTTTCTAACAAAACACATATAATATTCATTTTAATATTTGCGAAAAGCCACTCATAAAATACGCATTTTTCACACCTGGGGTTGTGAGAAATTAAACCAAATTTATCACAGGGTGGGCTGGGGAAGGTCGTTTGTAGGTTTTGAGGGGAGGTGGTTGAGGTTTGAGGGGAGGTGGTTGTTTGGAAGGTGTTTGAGGATTTAAGGGGAGGTTGAATTGGAGGAGAGATGGTTGTTTATGGGGTTAAGGGGTGGTTCTTTGTGGGGTTTGAAGGCAGAGGTGGTTGGGGGCTTTGGCGCAAGGTGATTGTTTGGGGGATGCGGTTGTTTGCAGGATTGGGGGGCGAGGCAGGTGCTTGGGGGAGGTCGTTTGTGGGTTTGGGACGTGGTCGCTGGTGGGTTTTTGGGGTGACGGTCGTCTGTGGCCTTGGCGGAGGCTGTTCGGGCCGAGGAACGGCTCCCGGCGAGCCGTCACAGCGCCGGCCCCGCCAGGCTCCGCCGCCGCACCGGGGCCGCCGCCTCCGGCCGGGGCCGCCCCGCGGCTCTGCGCAGGCCCCGCCGGGCCGGGCCGCCATGTGGGTGTTCGGCTACGGCTCCCTCATCTGGAAGGTGGATTTCCCCTACCAGGAGAAGCTGGTGGGGCGCATCCGCGGCTACAGCCGGCGCTTCTGGCAGGGCAGCACCGACCACCGCGGGGTGCCGGGCAAGGTGAGCCGGGGCCGGGGGGAACGCGGCCGCCGCGTCGGGCCCGGCTTCGGGCCCTGCCCCGCGGCCGGAGCCGCCCGCAAGGGCTGCACAGAAACCCAGGAACACAAAGCCCTTTAAGGAGGGCTCCGAAATGCCCGCATTTGTCATTCAGCGCGTTAAATGCCCTCGGTGAGGGGCGGGTGTCAGGCTGCGCACAGGGAATATGACCAGCCAGAATTACTGATCCAAGTAACCCCCGGCTGTGTTTTAACTTATTTTACTCTCAGGTGAAAATTCATGGATTAGGAAATACTTGAAGTTCTAAAATTCTTCACCGTTTGGAAAGAGAAAAAAAAAATAGCGAGAAAAAGAAACTAAAATTCCAAGTGGACATTCCCAGTGTCATATGTTTTTAAGCCACGGGGATAAGGTATAGCCTGCACCCAGGTAACTCCACTGTAAAACCTGAGGCGGTTTTAAGAGAAAAAAAGCATCAGAATTATTTTAAAGAACACATCTTGCTTCTTGGAAGGTTCCTGTTGAAACAACACTCATTAGAATATCAAACACCATAAAATAACTCGCACAGAGCTCAAAGAATACAGCCTGAGCCACCACTGACACACATTCAAGAACAGCAACAAGGAAAAAACAGCTCTTACAAATATACAGCAAATTACTTGCTAGCTGCGTTTTAAAAATATTTTCAGAGGATTATTCCCAGTAGTACAAACAGTACTTAATTCCTCTGATCAATAAGTATTTAGTAATTTGTTTCTTAATGTTTGTTTTGGGTAGTTCCAGGCAAGACAAGGACTTTGCAAGAAATTAAGTAAATATCCTGCCCTTCCTTAGGCAAACAGATCCTTCTTCCTTCACACAGCCCACCTGAAGTTCTCCTCAGTACTGCCTTTCATATTAAATCAAATCAGATTTAAATGAATTTAATTAATTTAGGCTACAGTTACAGACATTCCTAGTAAGTAAGGACAAGAAAGCTGATTTCCATCCACCACAGAATGTCTCTTTAATCCATAATTACAAAATTCACAAAAATCTTCGTGACCCATTGCAAGTGCACAAGTTAGAGAACTATCAATGACTATGGGAAAAACAATCCAAAAGGAACACTGAAGTTATCTTTGGTGTATCATGGGAACAGACTCATTTCTCCTCAGGAAATAGGAGTCATTTAGTGTTCATGTAGCTTTATTGCCTTATTTTATCAGTCAGGTCAGGAATAAATTGCTCACGCTGGGAGAGAACTAATTTGATACCAAAAGCAGCAATTTTAAACTGCAGATGTAGTTCAGCACAGGGTTTTATGTTTTAAAGTTTTATACAACAAACTTCAACTATTTTATTTCCAGTATGTACAAAGTGGCTCCTTACTTTTTCCTACAAGTATTAACTTCCTGGGGAAAACAAGCCATTTGGAAGGTATCCTCCCTCTGTCCAGTGAGGCTCCAAGGGCTCCTTGAGGATAGTTTTACATTAATGAAACTCTTAATTATCACTTTTGTTGTATTGTTAATTAATTGTCACTGTTTTAAATTGCAGTGGAATTGAGTCTTGACAGCACATGTAAAGCAAGGACATTCAAACTCTCCCAATTTCTGACTGCTTTTAATTTTTGTGTCACAGGCACTGTCCACCCAGAATTTAATGTTGTTTATTTTATCTAATACACATCCCAAGCTACTCTCCAAAAATACTTACAATGGATCTGGACCTTACTGGAATTGTGCTGGATTAGTTCTCTGAGCGTTTCATTCCTGTTCCTTGTTTTTTTTCTCGTTTTGGTTTGGTTTTGCTCATGATGTAGGGCAAAAGCCTCTGACTGAATGATGATTTCGTCTTTTAAATTTTAGCCTGGAAGAGTTGTGACGCTGGTTGAAGATGCTGAGGTACAGTACTGTTGTACAGAATGTCCTGTTGCATTTCCACTCATTAATTTTTGCTTTTCTACGAGCAGATAACTGTCTTATCTTAAGGGAAAAGTTCTCTCAGTGTTTCCCAGAGTTACACCAATGATTGTTTCAAATAATCAGTATAAACTGGAAGTAGTTTGGGTCTGTTATTACCACAGGGATATTTTAAAGTATATTCTGGAATAATCACTTTGGCTATCCAGTTGTGAGATGTAGAATTTGATAGAAAGATATATCAAACATACATGATTTGATATCAGCATTGAACGATAAATGTAATTGCTTTCAGTTTCACAAGGCTTGACCAAATTGTTGAGGTATCTCAGCACACCACACCAGTTCAGGTGTGTAACACGTGTAGGTGACCCTCAGGTCCTTACCAAACTGTCACTAAACACAAGGAACCTGATCAAAATTCCTTCAAATTCAGCATTATTTAAATTTGTCATTTTCAGACATAAATCTTATGAGGTCAGAGAGAAACTCTGTGTCCGTTTTGCCAGCTCCTTAGTGGCCTGTACCGAGGCTATTTACTACTCCAGATATTAACAAAACAGGAAGTTGCTCTGTTAGGAAAACCTCAGCCTTAGCAGAAAGAGGATGCTCAGTGTTTTCACTGATAATTGCCTGAATAAAGCAAATTCAGCATTATTTAAATTTATCATTTTCAGACATCAATTTTATGAGGTCAGAGAGAAACTCTGTATCCGTTTTGCCAGCTCCTTAGTGGCCTGTACCGAGGCTATTTACTACTCCAGATATTAACAAAACAGGAAGTTGCTCTGTTAGGAAAACCTTAAATGCAGAGAATAAACTATTTTATTGTAAAGGAAATAATTCCTTCCCTTGGCTGCTGATGTCAAGCCCTGAAAACCAAAGCTCTGGGCACTCTGACTCAAACAAGCCATAACCCTAACCCCTAACCTTAACCCTAACCCGTCAGTGCTTGTTTTAATTTTTAATCCTAATATAAAGAATAACCCCAAAATAGCAGAAAGAGGATGATCACTGATGATTGCCTGAATAAAGCAGGGACTGAATACTTTGGGACTCTTACAAACCCTGCAAAAAGCAGCAGAAGGGCAGGAAATCACTTTCCTGAAAGCTTTGCCTAAATGCAAGGATTCCCGAGTATCCCTCTGACCACCTCTCCTCGGCCAGGGCAGCGTGTGGGGCGTCGCCTACCGATTACCAGCCGGGCAGGAGGGAGAGGTGAAAGCCTACCTGGATTTCCGGGAGAAGGGCGGCTACAGGACCACCACGGTGATCTTCTACCCCAAGGACCCGTCGGTGCAGCCCTTCGACGTGCTGCTCTACATCGGCACCCGCGACAACCCCAACTACCTGGGCCCCGCGCCGCTCGAGGACATCGCGCGCCAGATCCTGGGCGCCGCCGGGCCCAGCGGCAGGAACACCGAGTACCTGTTTGAGCTGGCCAACTCCATCAGGAACCTCGTGCCCGAGGATGTGGACGAGCACCTCTTCTCCTTAGAGACACTGGTCAAGGAGCTCTTGAGCAAGCACCAAAATCTCAACTGTCTGTGAAGTGTGACCTCGTAACAGGCCTGGTTCTGGTGTTCTGATGCCTGGGAGGAATGCTCCTCTGCATTGTGCTGTCCTAATTAGTGCTGCATATCTTAATTAATGCTGCATTCAGAATAGGAGTTGGTTACTTAAAACTGCCAAAATCATTCTCCCATTCTTTCTCAAGAAAGGAGAGCAAATAAGTCTTCTAAGTTCAAATCCAAATATCTCAGCTTTTCATCCAAAGACTACACCTCAAGACAACCACCTAAACTTCTCTTTATGTTTTATTATTATTTCAGGTTTAAAATAAATCTTTAGAATATTTTTGGGGTCAAAATTGGCATGCAGAGACAAGTTCCTTAAGATTTAAGTGATAGTTTGTTCTGGTCCTAGACCACAGTGCAGGAATTTTAAGTGGTTGGCCTAAATTGTGTAGTAGAAAATTTATATCAACATTCAACTCCTCTGAAATGAAGTTACACCACTGAATTAGTCATCTCACCCTTTATATGTTACTTTATCCTTAAATGCAGAGGATAAACCATTTTATTGTAAAGGAGATAATTCCTTCCCTTGGCTGCTGATGTCAAGCCCTGAAAACCAAAGCTCTGGGCACTCTGACTCAAACAAGCCATAACCTGTCAGTGCCTCGTTTTAATTTTTAATCTTAATACCAAGAATAACTCCAAAATACTAAAATTAACTAAGAGCCTGACTTGAAGTCACAACACAGCAAGAAGAGCAACTTTCATCTCTGTTACTTCAGGTGCTGTTGTGGCCCCCATCTCTTTGAAAATCCCAGCTGCAAGGATAGATTTTAGTTTCACCAACAGAAGGTAATTAAGGGAGGAACCCTCTCTCCAGTAACCTTAGGGGTGTGTATGGACATCCCAAGAGGGTTGGGAAGCCCCAGTTTAGGCTGGTAGGCTTCCTGATGCAATCCGTCCCAACATGGGCTTGTCTTGCTCCTCAAAACTCTTTATTTTTATTAACTTTTAACCGAGTATATTTTTATATCTTAATATAAATGGTCCTGTTCCAAACACCACGAAACATCCTGATTTCCCATCCAGGGAATGTGTGTTTAGTAGCAGCCTGGAAGCCTGGATTCTGCATCAGTAATTGCAAAAAAAGTGTGGTTTTCCCCTAAAAAAGGTTGACCTTTCCTGTTCTTTACATCTTCCTGGTTTATATTTGTAAAGATAAAAGTGTGCAATGGCACTCTCTGCTTTCTTGAAAATTCTTTTTAGATTTAAAAATTCTTTCCTCAAAGACTTATCCTTGTTCATTAAAAGAGGGCAGGGGATCCAGAACCATCAGGGCTGATCCTCCCTTTAAAATGCTAATTATTTAAGTACTGTGATTCTGTGTAGCTCCACATTCTCTGTCTTTGCCTCCAAGATTTTGTTGGTTCTTTGCTTCTTAAATGCATAAACCATTGCAATAATACACGTTCCTGTGTAGGATTTCAGTGCAATAAAAAAGCATTACAATGACTAACGAGGTTGGAAATTTCCAGAAATGTTATGTTTAAAGTGTGTCTGTGTGAGGGGGGACATCGAGGTGTGTGCCTCGCTGTAAAATTGTTCTTGGGGCTGAGAGTGACAACACACATATAAACTGTGGCACATTAGGGATTAATTAAAGCATGGGAAGTATAAATAGATACATTTGTTCTTGCTGTGTGGGATTAATGCCACTGCTCTGCCCCCAGCTTTGGTCCCTACCAAAAGCCTTCCAGATCTGCTACCTTAAAAATTTTAGGCCATTTAGGCTTCGTTTTTTCCTGACTGGTTAAACTCAGTCTCTATTTATGCAAATACAGATTCAGATCTGTAGGCTTCACTACACAACCACGCATACAAAGCCACTGCTAAACGTGTTCTCAAACAGTGTCTGGGGAAACAACAGGCACATCCATGACTATTTACAGAAGATAATGCAGAGAGGAGGGAGAGGGAAATCCAGACTTAAAGGTTAGCATCCATCATCTCCAAGGTATTTTCCAACCAGAATAACTCCAAGGCTCTGTAATAAGGGCATTCTCTGTAGCATGGCCAATTAATTTCTCACTCTTACATCCTCCAATTATTTATCTGCTCCATGTTTCCCATGGATCAGATGGGACTGGCCTAACCTGCTCTGATGTGAAGACTGTTTGGGTTCTCAGGTGTATAGATACACACACACACACACAGGTGTATAGAGAAACGCACAGAGGAGCCCCTGAAGTGCTCTTTTACACTCATAACCTCGTACCTGGTGATTATGTTTAACCCTTAGCGCTGTCACTGATGACCAAAGTTAATTACTCGCATCCCATTCCCTCCCTCCTCTTACTCGCCCCCATTTTACCCCTCGCTCACTCATTCCCTCATTCACACTCCTGCCTCCCTCACACTCCTCCCTCACACTCGTTCCCTCACTTACACTCCTTATTCAAATTCCTCACTCCCTCACGCTTCTACTTACTCGCTCACTCACTTCACTCACTAAATTACTTCCATCGCTCACTTCCATCACTCCCCCACCCCGGTCCTTGGCTCTCTCCGCGCTCGGCCCCTCACCTGCGGCGGCGAGCGCTGCCCCGGATGCCGCTGCTGGCGGCGGGCGCTGCCCCGGTTGTTGATCGCGGCTGCCGGAAGCCGACGTGGCGGCGGCGCGGCGCGGCCTCGGCGGAGCCGCCGGCCGGCATGAGGGGCTGCGGGCTGCGGCCGCCGAGCCCGGCCCCGGCCCCGCGGAGGGGCTGCGAGCTGCGGCCGCCCTGCCCGGCCCCGGCGCTGCTCTGCGGGCTCCTGGCGGCCGTGGCCGCGGTGGCCGAGGGCGGCCGAGCGCTCCCGCAGCTCAGCGACGACATCCCGTTCAGGGTGAACTGGCCCGGCACCGAGCTCAGCCTGGTGAGCTCCCCCCTCACCGCAGGGCCCGCACGGCCGCGCCGCCCGCGGAGGGGTCGGAGCCGCCTCGGCGATCAGGGGGGCTCGGGTGGGGCTGGCCCGCCGCCGGAGGGAGCCCGGCGGCTGGGAGAGAATCCCGGGGGATTCTGTGCCGAAAGCGGAGGGGGGAGAGCTGGGGGTGAAGGGGGATGGCTGGGGCTGGGGTCTGTAATAAAGGTCTGAAATGGGAGAGCACGAGTGAGGGGGGCATGGAGGGGATTGGGGATCTGGAGGGGATTGGGTATTTGGGAGGGATTGTGGATCTAGAAGGGATTAGGGATCTGGAATCTGGAGGGGATCGGGCATCTGGAGGGGATCGGGCATCTGGAAGGGATTGGGGATCTGGGAGGGATTTGGGATCTGGAAGGGATCGAGGATATGGTTGGAAGTAGAAGGTCCAAAGCGAAGGCAGCAGCAAGCAGCTCCCAGCCAGCTAAACCACCAAACTCGAGTCTTGTGGTATAATTAAATCCCAGGAAATACTCTGGGAGCTGAAACTAATACAGTCTGGAGCACCGCTCAGGAATTCAGGGGTGTTTCTAATGAGTAGCATTAAAAAGCCCCTGCCTGGCTGATACATGGGTTGGTTATTTTCTCAGCCGACCACTGGTGTCTTGTACAAGGAGGACAATTACATCATCATGACCACTGTGGATAAAGAGAAGTACAAGTGTCTCCTGCCATTGATAGCCAGTGGCAATGAGGTGAGTTCAGGAGTTATTCTGTAAATATAAACTGTACCTGAGTCTTTACGCTGTCAGTCTCAATATCATGAGATGTCCTTTTGTTGCAGGAAGAAGAAAAGGACTATAAAGGTCCTACTCCAGGGGAACTGCTGGAGCCTCTCTTTAAGCAAAGCAGCTGTTCCTATAGAGTATGTTACTTTTGTCCTGTTCATTAAATGCCAATTAAAAGGTTACAGGCCAGTCCATGTCAAGGTTTTAGGGTAGTAAATGAGATACTAATACAGTCTGAAACCAGGTCTTTAAAATTTTATGCCTTAATATTGCTGACAAAATTCTGTGTGATTAAAGATGTCAAAATTCAGATAAATAGGTAGCTATGGTAGCAGTTAAAATATGAATTTTTATTTTTTAATTTAATTTTTTCCTTTGTTTTATTTGTGTGAAAGTCAAGGAAGTGTTTTCTGTTGTGTTTGTTTGGGCAACACTGAGACCACTCGCCTGTGCTCTTGTTTTTGAGGGTGCTCAAGCCAACATCTGAGTGGTTTTGTGGGGTAAAGATAATTTTTAAAATGTATTTTATTTCTCAGATTGAATCTTACTGGACTTACGAGGTGTGCCATGGGAAGCACATCCGTCAGTACCACGAGGAGAAGGAAACGGGGCAGGTAGGCTGCTCACAACCCCCTTCCCACTGGCACAGTCCTGCTGAACTCCTCCAGCAGACTTGAGTTTCTGCAATAATTTAGCCATGATTCCATTTTCCTCATGCAGAAAAACTGCATCTTTATTGTACAGGACATGTTTTATAGGATTATCAGAAGGCACTGTGTCAGATCTTACTGGTTGACAACATACACTTAGTTGACTGCTCAGTACATGGTATTTTGCATATCTATTAAACTTCTGTATTTTTAGTTAGTTTACATACTTTTTTACTGATTCTTATGAGACAGATCTCTTGTTATTACAGACGCCATTTGTTCTTCACCCTAGAAGTAGATTGTTGGGTTAATGAACTCTCATTCCCAAAATTATTTTTTATAGGAACTTGCAAGCTGTCTGCACTTAAAAGTGACAGACTAGCTTTGGCACTTTAGCAGAGCAAGGCCTGATTTCATAAGGCCTTTCTTTTATAACTTCTTTTATCTGTGTGCAACATTGAATTCCCTGAAAAAACTTAGAAAGTGGTAACTGATTTGTTTTTTTTGATTGTAGAAAATAAACATCCAAGAATACTACCTGGGGAATATGATAATGAAGAACCCGTTGTCAGAACCAGGTGTGTTTTAGATTATTTCATTCTGCTGATAATGAAATTTTTGGGTTTTAATTATTGCTGTCTGACCAGTTTGAGAGCCATTGGTTTGAGGGACTTGGGCGGAAATGAGGTCGCTGAGCCCCAAGCTCAAGGGACAGTTTAGAATAACTGATTTTTGGAGCATTTTTTGCCTGTAAATTAGTTGAAAGAAGTCTTCCAAATCCACAGACTAAGTGTTCATTCAGAGTTGAACAGAACAGAACAGAATTGAACAGAAATAGAATAGAAAAACATCACCTAGGCTGGGGTGTTTGTTTCATTGTAGGCCAGTGTGTGAAAGGCAGACACCATTGTTTTCCTGGAAGTGATGAGCTGCAATGCTGCAGTCTCTTGGGGGGATTTAGTGCTGTTCATCCCGCTTCTGGATCTCTGGCTGCAGCCCTGAGTGAGGGATCTTAGTCCTGGAAAGAACCAGGGCTTCAGAACGTGCCTTGTTTGGCCTTTCTGGGTGGGTGGGTGCAGTCTCTGTGCAGGGGTGCTCGTTCTGCTGCTGCACAGAGCACAGAGTGTTTGATCTGAGTCACCCTTTTTGTGCGGCTGGCTGTTGAAGCCTGATGGGACCTCAGGTGACCATAGCTGGGGCTGTCAGGCTGTTGTCCCTCTGCCCTTCCTGCTTAGGTGGCAGATTGTGTCCTGTGTCCTTTCCCTGCTTCCTATCTGGCAGCTCCTGCTCCTTCCAAAGCACCTGCTTGTTTCCTGTCCAATTCCCACCCTTCCCAAACAGCTGCAGTGACGTGTTCTGCAGCCCTGCCTCGGTGTCAGGGCTGGATTTGGCCTGTCCTACCAGCTCCAGGTGGTTTTGTGATGAACTGAAGTGTATTTTTCTCTGTTTGCTGTGGGCCTCAGATCACTGGTTATTTCCTTTCTTTCCTCTTTTGCACCTGCAAGTGGCTCTTGGCAGTGTATAAAGCACCAGCAAATACACAAACCAGAAAAGCTTCTCTGTGAAATTCCTTTTTTTTTTTTTTTTCAAGTGCACAAACTTACCCCATTCTTAATTATTCCCTAGATCAAGAAGAGAAGGAAAATTCCAAAGACGGTGCAAAAGAGGCAAGTGAAAACCATCTGTTTTAACTTCTGCCATCAATAGTGGAGGCAATTTATATATGATCATAGAATCCCAGAATGGGTTGTGTTGGAGGGGACCTCTGAGATATCCAGTGCCACGGACACCTTCCAATGTCCCTCATCCAGCCTGGCCTTGGACACTTCCAGGGATGGGGCAGCCACAGCTTCTCTGGGGAACCTGTGCCAGGGCCTCCCCACCTTCACAGGGAGGAATTTCTTTCTAATATCCAATCTAATGATAAGATGATGTAATTAGTCCCCTCCCAGAATGAATATCAAGAAATGGAACTGTTCCTGAGCTGCACTTCTCTTGCTTTTAATTATCAGTCCCAGCTCAGAAAATTTATTTAGTCTTGCTGCTCAAATTACTTTCACTCATCAAAGCCCTACAGCACAAAATCCCTAAGAGATGGAGCTGACTTGCTGACCCATCCCATAATAGTCTGTGTTTCCCTTTCCCCTTAGAGGACTTCCCCACTTGTTTAGGCCCCAGAA